TGATGCCAGGGGCTTAAGTGGAGAGCAAATGATGAGGGCAATGAATGTACAAATGTGCTTTACACAATTGATGTATGTATGGATTGTGATGAGAGTTGTATGAGCCCCTAAAAACAATAAAAACAAAAAAGCAACAACTGTGGTGTGTACTTGTGCTTGCTATTCTCTGCCCCTTTTAAGGCCCGAGGGGTTGGGCCTGCCAGGATTGGGGCCGGAAACAGAAAGCAGAAACTAAAGGCTGAGTAGTGATGGAACAGGGAGTGGCCAGTAAGAGCACCTAGGACAGTGTTAAGAGCATCCAGGAAAAGTCTCAGGAAGACGTACGTCAATGATAAGAAAAAATGTTGAACACTAACGGGAACAACATCTGCCAGAACCTTGAGGTGGAAGAACATAGTTTAGTGCTGACTTAAGAATGAAAGGAAGAAAATGGTAAGCAATGAGATTGCTGACATGAGCAGACACAGACCACAGAGTATCTTGTAAATCAAAGTAGAATATGGATCTTGGGGGAATACCAAGGCCAATCAGCCTGACACAGATCACAAAGACAGCACTCTTTATAACCCACTTTGGTGACAAGTGAATGGGGTCTTAAAGCTCAGGTGCAAATACTGGTCTGTCCCACATTGGGAGGAAAGAAGAGTGATGGAACTGGAAAGACATATGCAAACAAGCAGTTCCAACGGACTAATGAACCAAGCAGACATCAGTCTCCACCCTCCTGGGACCAGAAGAATTGGATGGTGCCTGATAACCACTACCAACTGCTCTGAAAGGGATCACATTAGAAGTCCTACATATAGAGGAAGAAAGTGGAACAGAATTCATATCATAAAAGAGATCACATTTATCATTCAGATAGAGACTGCAGAGACCCTCAAGACTATGGTCCCAAGTCCTCCTCATGTGTGCAACTGAAATCATTCCATGTCAACAATTTAAGATCAAAAGGTCAGTATTACCCATGGACACAGGGTTTGAAAGGAAGGAGGGATGGAAACAGGAAACACAGGGAGGAAATGGGATAAGTGATGGACACTAAGGGGATTGAAAGAGTGAGTTGAAACAAAATGTGTATCAATTGTTGGCTGAAAATTGATCTCTTTTGTAAACCTTTACCTAGTTCATAATAAAAAGTGTGTGTGTGTGTGTGGGGGGGGTAGAATTTAAAATCTACCCAAGGACAGTAAAAAGGAAGCAAAGATAAAGAAATAAGATTAAGAATCTTAGGAATTTAGATCAAGGATCTTGGGAATTGAAGGAATATGAAACTGGAGGCAGTCTGACCTGTGGGAGAGAAGATCATGCTCTACTTCCTGGTATTCCAAAGCAAACTCACTACCGTTGCGTCAACCCAGACTCAGAGAACTGCTCTGAGGGCTTCCAAAGAGGTGACTCGCTATGGAAGTTGGAGAGGACTACAGAGCAGTGAACAAAGTAGAGAGAGATGTAAGAGAGTTTACTAGTACATTAAGTAAGGGATAAAGAGGAGCTAAGGAGTATCCACAATTAGGGCTTGAGAATTTGGGTGAACTGGTGATGTATTCTTTGAGATGAGAAACATCAGAAAGAAAAGAAGGACAAGAAAACAGAAGAAGAAATGGATAGTGAAAACAAAATAAAAAGATTTCTTTGCCATAATTTGGAAACTTCTATATCAATCCCACCTTACATTTGAGCTTCTAAATAGAAGGCAATGAGGAATGATTACTAAACACATCAATTTGAATAGCATACCACGTGAATATGAAACAGAGGGTTAGTTCTTTATTGGTTAAGAGCCAGGCAGCCTAGGGTCAAACTTGGCATTGGAGGCGTACTGGTTACGAGTTAGACTGCTAACTACAAGGTCAGCAACATCCATAAAGAGCTAAAGTCTCAGAAACCCACAGGGGCAGTTCTACTCTGTCCTACAGAGCCAGAATCCACACAATGGCAACGAGCTTGGCTTGAGTTTTCTGGGTGGCCTTTGGGCAAGTTACCTAACTGTCTGTGACTGTGAGCCTATCTGTAAGAGAAGAAACATATCAATAATTTAAGCTATTGCATAAATTTGGTTTAAAGAATAAATGAGTTAAATATATATAAATTGTACCAATCAAGCACATAAATGAGCTATATATTCCTATATTTGCTATGATACTAGATAAAATCATTTATGGATTCTTGCTATGCATTATACTGGAACAAACATGGAATACATACTACTTGGAAAACTCAGGATCTGGAAGACTATCCCAATCCCAAGCCATAAATCTTGGGAATAATAATAATCAAATTATACTAAAATTTAAGACAACAATTATACATGAGATCTGAATTCTGTCTACAAGTATTTTAGTTTTTCATCTTAAGAAGTCAATAGCAAACAATGTAAGTAGTTCAGGGCAGGGTACTTAACTGTTTTCTTTAATACAACACAGGGCACAAGATTACTGTAATTTTTAGGCACAAAGAGCGGACTCAGTTACCTTCAGCTCTTGAATTCCACTCATATAACCACTTTTAATTTGCCTTACTACTAATTGATTGTCTAGAAAATGTTTGTAATTGTTTGTGAATGAACTCACTGATTTCATAGTAGATATGTGATCCAGGTGTCTACATCAGCTCGGAATCAGACACCTTGGTTTCCCCACTGACATGTCCCTCTATGAAACAGCTCTTTTGTAGTAACAAATATTATGCATGTCACCACTTCGTATTCTTATATATTGGATAATAATCTGTTCAATCATTAATATAGGCATAAATACCATCAATATGACCGCTCTATCATATAATCTGAACCAAGAGACTTTTATTCCAGGCTTAAAAAAACAAACACTGAAAAAAAAAAAAACCACTGAAATTTGGATATAGTTCTGATATAATTTCTTGCTTTGATGCAAGCTATGTGAATTAATCTTTCTATTTCTCTGGCCCTTTTCAACACTCTTTCTGAAAGTTCTTTGTGAAGACGTTGTTTTAGATGTCTATTGCTGAAAATGGTGTTCAACTCTGAATGTCCTAAAACCACTGAATTGCGGACTTTAAAAAGGAGTGAATTGTATCTAGTATTAATTACAGCTAATTAAGCTCTTGATTTTTAAAAGTCCACTGAGAATGAAGTGAGCAAGTAATACAACATAATCTCCCTTGCAGTTAATAATCAAAACACCTTAGCTACTGACCTTCTCAAAGTTACCCATGTGTGACATAAGCAAGCATGTGCTGAACCGAAGCAATGAAAGCTCAAGGCACATTTGGGCAGCCCCAGAGTACTGATGCTCAGTTTAAATTAATGTAACATTTCTTCACAGTTCCTTACCATTTAGCAAGTGAACCTAGGAGTCTACTCTGGCAAATCAGCTTATGATAAAAATGGAGAGTTCATCATAAATTCAGAGAGAACAAATTCAATTATAGTTTAGTAGATTCACTTACATTCACATCATGGGTAAACCTAAAGTCTAAGAAATGTGATAATTAAAAAATGATGAAGTAATAATTATTTTTACTACTTAAGTTTTATTCTTAGAATATTTATAGATAACCCTAGATCATGTATCACTAACTGAGTGTAACAAGATAAATGTTACTGCTAAAAGGTAGATTCATTAGATAGACAATCAGATATATAGAGAGCTACATAGATAGATGTATACATACACACACATATATACATACACATACCTATATGGACCAAGACCATTTGCTTGACGGGGAAACCCAGGCGCAGGGATAAATGTACATAGCTAGGAAGTGGCAGAGCCAGGAATGAAATTTAAGCCAATCATATTCCAAAACTCATGCTGTCTAGTATTCAAAGCAGAATTCTCATCAAAGAGCTGAAATGTTAACTTCAAACCAGTTTTCTTTTTCTTTTTCTAAAAAAAATAACCCTACATGTAACCTGTAAAGCAGGGTTCCTCCCTGAGCAGGAATGTATTACCCTTCAAAATTTTCAAAATAGTTTGTAAAATACAACTGTGGATTCCGAAACCAAAAGTTCCCCACAAGTGTAGTTATGTATCTGTGCCAATAGGTTGCATTAAAGAGTGATTTTTGTTTGTTTTCTTGGTAATGCTTGTGTTGGTTTGTTTTTTACCTTTTGCCACGTCACACTCCTTTATCATTTTGAGAAAGTTGGAAATTTCTCTATCTAGTCTCTGTTGACATGTTTGTGCTTTCTGAAAAGAAAAAAAAAGATAAATTAAAATAATGGCTATATCAAAACCCCCACTGTCATCGAGTCAATTCTAAGGCCTTAAATATGAATGGAAGTAGGGAAATATCATCTTTTGCTCAAGATGAGCTGATGGTCAGAACAACCAACCTTGAGGTTAGCAGTCCAATGCTTTCCAAATAGTGCCACCAGGGTTCCTGATTTCTCTAAATTTTATATATATCCAACAGCTATGTACAGAAACCCTACAACTTCCTTAATTACTGCTATTATCCCCTTTTGTCATAGATGTTTGATCATTTACATTTCTATAACCCATTTACTCATATTTTTCAGTAAGTCTAGCTAATTCCACCCAGAAATACAAAATACACTTCCTTAGACATATACCCTAACAGCCGTTGTTAGTGAACATGAAACAAACAGTCCTAACATTGGGAACTCACAGGCTGATTCTGACTCAGCAAAGTATACCGAGACCCCACACTGCCAGACCAAGACGATCATTTTCTTAGAAGTTAAAGCTTACAAAAATATGGCAAAAACCAATTACAGAAATTATTCTTCATTGTAATTTGAAAATTCTGCATTTTTAAGTCCCTAAAAGCAAAACATAAAAGCAAAGTTCCATGATATAGCATACAAGTCATATGCTTGTGGATTTTTTTATTTGGAAATCAGACACATCCATTTATTGTATTATCTATGCTATTCTGATGTTTATTTATAGCTTCTCTTTGGTACTATTGATTTGGTATGGGGCTGCTAACTGCAAGACTGGGGGTTCAATTCCACCAGTCACTCTCTGGGAGAAAGATGAGGTTATCCAATCCCGTGATGACTTAAAGCCCATGTAGGGTAACTTTAAGTTAGAACAGAATCCATGGCAGTGTGTTGGGCTACTAACTATAAGGTCTGCAGTTCAAAACCACCAGCTGCTCCATAGGAGAAAGAGGAGGCTTTTTACTCCCATGAAGAGTTGCAATCTCAGAAACCCATAGGGGCAGTTCTATGCTGTCCTATAGGGTTGCTATGAGTCACCGAGTGAATGAATGAGCTAAAAGAAGTGGGAAGAGCAAAAATTATCATTGTAAATTCAGTTAGTTATGGCAATAATTCCCAAACCAATGCTAATTGGTTCCGACTCACAGCAACTCAACTGGGTTCCACAGAGTTTTCAATGACTGTTTGAAATGAAGTCTGTTAGTCTTTCTTCCAAGGTGCCCCTGGATGGACTCCAACCTCCAATCTTTCCATTAGCAGCCAAGTGCATTAACTACACACTCGGGGACTTTATAGCCCCCAAAACAAAACGGAACAAAACCCCAAATGCAAATGACCAACCACTGCCAGTCCATTGATTTTGGACTCAGAAGAACCACAGAGAACAGAATACAACTGCGCCCCAGGGTTTCTGAGACGGGCCAGCTTTAGGGAACAGACAGCCTCATCTTTCTCCTGTGGAGAGACTGGCGGTTTTGAAGTGCCAACCTTTTGCTTAGCAGCCCAACACTTAGCCCAGTGTGCCAGCAGAGCTCTTTAGGGCCTCCACAAAACCCGGACCTTCATAGTGTGTGAATCACCTTGCTGTATGTAGAACCACCTTGCTGCCTAGCCCGATGATGTTTCGCTAGTCTGTGCTCATCTCAACAGGTCCGTCGCACGGAAATTTGTTCATGCAACATTAGATTCATCGTATCTATGCACCAAGAGGAGACCGATAAGCACTTTTCTCACCTCATTAATTATTTAGTGCCTATGAAGTTCAGCTGAAATACAAATTATTCATGACATGTTTCTTTCCCTCTTGATGTTGTTTTTTTTTAGAGTGCTAGTCTAACAGTGCAATTCATTTGCTTAAGTTTTAGGAGAGGGAGAATCTCTACACGATACAATAAAAAACACCACAAATGGGGAATGGATGCTTGCTAATCGTTAAAGTCCTCTCATGTGAATACAAGTTGGAGGCAGGAAAAGTCAATCTGGGGGAACTGAAAGCACGCGGACCAGACACACCCCTCATAAATTTATGAACAGAACATCATTCTCTCTCTAATATTCCTCAGTGTCACTGTTCTCTCTTTCCCTGTCTATGGTCAGAGTTAGCTGCACTGACTTTATTGACAAACTTTGAGTCTGTAACCAACGAGACAGACGACAACAAACGTGGGGTTAAAATAAAAAACAGGAAATAGCACCACTAAATCACACTGCTCTCCCTTAGCGTATCTATCTAATATTGACTAAATGCAAAAGACATAATAGGTCAGCTGGAAAAGATTCAATATCACATACTGTTTTATAATTGGGTATAATGTATTTATTCTACATAATAGTACTGTTTAAGTGACACTAAAGAGAGCAGAATTATTTTATTAACCCAATGAAATATTCTCCAATATAAAATTTGTTCTAGTTTTTAATATCTTCTGCTTCCTTTTCTATTACAGTTTTACTACATTTTTGTTGTTGTTGTTTTTTTAAATGTTTTTCTGTACATGAAATTCAGGATTGGTAAATCTATAGAGACAGTAACTGGACTCATGGTTCTTTGGGGGTATGGCAGGGAAGGCTTGGGGTACGGAGGCATGGTATGGGGAGCTAACAATGATGAATACAAATATGAAGACAATTTTCTAAAACTGATTGTGGTGATGACTATACAACCCTACTTGATATGACTGAACTATTCAATTGTATGATAAGTGAATTATACACCAATACAACTGTTAAAAATATATAACTCATTCTACAAGGCGTCACGATTCCCTTTTTGTCACTATTGGTTATAGTGTGAAACCTAAACATGTCCTCATGAAAATGAATGATTATCAGTTCTTCGCAGAGCCCAGGGGTGTGCTCGTCTTTATTTCTATGCCACTCACACCAAGTCAAGGACTTGTGTATGTTTCCTTTTTGAATTATTCTACACAAATATGATCCCGCTACAGGTGATGTTCTAATACCTAAACTTTGACATCATTATTTTAACCCACGTTATCTGGGCACAGCATACAGAAAAGGGTAAGCCCAGTGACTGAGAAGATGTTGCAGGTGCATATCACCCTGTTTACCTGCTAGTTTGGCTGCTTTAGGTCAATGCGCCCTCCTTGATGATGCCTGACCCATGGGGCAACTTAGAAATGTGTATCAAGTGGATGCACAGCTAGAGAGGAGCGGATAGCACCAGAGACTGGTAATTAATTCTATTTGCTACAGATAATGTCCATTTCATTAATTCGATCAGAAAAGACCTGTGGCTGCCTGAGAGACGGGGAGAGGGGACTGCTTCAGAATGAGTTCAAGGGAAATTGCAGTGGCAATTACACAAGATATATAGATCTGTCATAACCCATCAAAGTGAAAATTCTAAATGAATGAATATTATTGTATAACAACGATGCCTACTGTTGATGTAAAATTTTAAAATAAAAGATTGTGGCACACTGGTGACGTTCCCCTCTGCAGAAAACAGCCAGTGTGGGGAGTGCTGGATTCCTCGTCCTCATCTGCAAGTCCTGCGGACGTCAGTCAACCCTATTTCAAGAGTAATTCCACACTCCATCATTCTTTAATCTAACTCGGTCGAGAATTTATTAATTTTGTTACCGAAAGATTTTCATGGCCCTTCTCTGTAATTTTAAAACATGTTTTACGTTATAATCATAGACAAAAGTAAAAAGAAAAAAATCAAGACAAAGAAGTACGCAACCCTCTCTTACATGCCTATCAAGTCTGCAGCCCTCCTCGTTCTCCAGTCCCAAAGCGACAAAACTAATAACCACTGTCTTTCCAGATATGAGGGTGCAAAGCCTCCCCCTAGGTAGTAGCATGTTAAATATACCCTTTACACTATGTCCTTTTCCCTTATCTGTCCTAAAGATGCCAGTGTCTTAGTCTAGCGGGAGAAAGCCTTCCACTTGACCTGGCATGTTGACTAGAGACTTCTGGCCTCCTACAAAGAAGAATTTCTGCTTCCTGAAGTCATCCGCATGGTGTTTCTGTTGTAGCACAACTAGGTAACAAATAGTATGCCCCTGAAAGGACAGTTGATGGAATTATGGAAGTTAATGACAATTTGAATGAGGGATCAGAAGTAAAAAGAGTTACAGAGAAAGAAAGAGATACAGAAAGTAAAAACAGTTATAGAGTTAGAATTAGGCTTTATCATTGTAAAGAATGCACACTGCACAAGCAATAGAATATAACTCAATGTGGATGAGAAATGTGCTTCTGGTGAGACTTTAACAGAAAGTGATGGCCATGTGATTGGACAATAGAGGACAGGTAATGTTTTTCTTGCAGTGGCAAAGAATTGGTCTAAATTATGTTCAGATGTTTGATGGATGGCGCTATCCATGATAAACTGGGATATCTGGATGAGGAGATTTCCAAGGGTCAGGAGAGCTGTGCCGTGGAAATGTGATCCATCAGGACAATGCACCTACTCCTTCTTTAAGCGCAGCAAGAGCTGCTCCTCCTTGCCACCTCTGGTAAAAAGGGAGAGTCTGGAGAGAGAGGGGCTTAAAAATGCATGGTACAAAATGAAAACAGAATTTTTAACAATTTGGAAAATTCTGCTGTCCAAACAAAGAGCACATATCCTTAGTGTGTTCATTAAGGATGTGGCTACTACACAATTTTTTGGTAAAAACTAGTAAGGTAAGACTGAGACTGATGGATCTAACCAACGGTAACAAAACACCCACCCGCTAAGACTGAAGGGGACAGAGAAAGAGCCAAAGGGAAGGTTACCATCTGCCTCTTGGAATTCTACAGACGGAAAATCGGTCAATGGTGGTACATCTGCTGTCCTCCAAGGAAAGGAAAGGACCATCCTTGAGAGCAGCTTGGAGGTTAGCAGAACGCCTGGCAGGAGCACAGGGCCTTCTACGCTTCAAAGGGCATGGCCCCAGCCTCAGAGCTTTCAAAGAGTTAGCCATTCACCAGCTCAAGTCTAGAATGTGGGTCTGCCATTAAGGTGTAATGGTGGGGATGCTCAGAGTTGAGGGGGTAGACTGCCATACCCCGGGAGAGATAGATCGGTTTTGTGATTAATGATATTGTTTGGTTTAGGGGCTACCTTGGAGTCTCTAGATGTCTAGAACAAATCTGTGCCACAGACTGACCTCAGGATTTATTTGCACCTTGGAAACTCACGGATCAAGGTATCTTAGAGTCCGCTTACAGCAAGCTATAGTTATCATACTTCTAAGTTCATCTCAAAATTAGTCTATTTTAGACTTGCCTCTAGTGCTAGAGACATAGTCAAGGTTCATACTATTCACTTTCCTTTGAACACAAATATGCTATAATCTGAAAAAAAAAACTGAGGATGTTTAAAAATGGCTAAAACTCTCATTGGCTTCAGGTGTTATAAAATCTAGAAGATGAAAAAAAATCGCGGTTTTAAGGCTAACATACAAGGGTAAGTCAAAAAGTATTTCCACCACCGTGCCACTGCATACATGAGCAGGTCTATTCCAAACAAAATGTGCTTCATCACATCTCTGTGATCAGCATGAGGCTCCAGACATGCTCTCTAAGTAATACACATTTTGAGCTTCATTAGGGTGCTTTCAATAATATGTTCAGTCAATACAGTGTCTTCCAAGGTTAGGGTGCCTGTTGTTTGGAGTTCCAGAAAGGGTAATCTTTTCTTCAAGGACCCAGGACAATCATGAAGAAGGTTTAAGAAAATTAACGACTGCCTTAGAGGAAAAAGGCCAGGACCATTGTGCCACAGAAAGTTGTTCCATCAGGACAAAGCGCCCGCTCATTCTTTAGGGGCAGCAAGAACTGTCCAAGGAGGATGCCACTGGGAGCATTATTCTACCCACCTTACAGTCCTCATCTTGTTCCTTCATACTGCTCTGTGTTCACACAACTTACAGAATATTGCAAAGGAGCACAATGTTGGGCCCCTATGGCTACAACAGGGCTCTTCTCAGAGAGTGCAAACTCCCTCGGGGAAGGGCCAGAGAAGGGGAAACACAGATCCAGCCACGGACACACCTATAAGGAGGACATGTCAAAAAACTATAGTGTCCCATTTTATTTTTGTTTAATAAAAGTTTCTATGATTTGGTAGCAATATGTTTATCTGGCCTTATTTTTTTTAAAATCATTTTATTAGGGGCTCATACAACTCTTATCACAATCCATACACACATTAATTGTGTAAAGCGCATTTGTACATTCATTG